TTTAAGAAAAAGTATATACCCCTTTCTCTTTCTTGGTGGAGTTGGCTTATTTTGCTATATTAGATTTATGATTAGGCTCTGTGTGGCTATGATCATAATCAAGTTTTGACTATTGAAAGTCAAGCCAGGAATTCTATTAAGAATTTTATATACCCTGGTTGTGGCACCATTATCTTTTCCCATTAGAGAGATTCAAGGAAAGAAAAGGGTGCACAGGAGACAGTAGTCACCCTACAAAGCTTGATATTTTTGAAGTTACAAGTCATTAAGGTTATTGTATTGTTTCTCATTCATCATATCAACAGTTGGTAACTGTTTTGGTTTGTATGCCTTACCATGTCAGTTTTAAACATTACAATATTTCTACACTAGAAGAAATTTGGTCCTGACTTCTGTTGTATCTTCATTTAAAAATACCCCCCCAAACCAGCCTTTGTTTGTGCCTCTGGATTATTTGGTAGTTTGATGATAACCAAATTTGTTCTCTCTGAAATAGAAACAAAGATGAGGATTCAAAGAAACTTACTATTGCATTTTGCAGCCAGCGCTTACAAGATATTCTTTTACTGTGCTATATGATTATATCTACATTATGATTGATTTTTAAGAATATAGCTATCGACTAATATGCCCATTCATTATTTAATTAAAATAATTGAAGTGAATAATCACTTTCTTCCTTCCCTGTGGTATTTTTCTGAACTGTGAATAATTCTTAACAATACAGTCAAAGTAACACTTGTAGTTTTAAGGACTTTTAACATCAGTCCTAGTTTGTAGCTGTCTGCTAGGGATTACATTAGGGCCGTGTGAAGCTTCAGTAGCTGATCCGATTTGGGGACTGAATCTCCCAATTGGAATCAAATTGGGAGACCAAGTAAAATCTCTGAATCAATTCAAAGCATCCGAATTGATTTGGAAAAGAGTTGGCCAATTTGGAGTTTCGGGCATAGACTAAACAGGCAGCTGCCTCCAGCTGGTAAGTCTGTTGGGGTTGGGGGAGAGTGGGGGAAGAGGTGTGGGGGAGGGAGGGATTGTGGCTGGGACAGGCTGCCCAGCCGGGGCGGG